CTTTTTTCCCTAGGGATCTGATATTGAGATGGTGAATTCTGAACATGGTGTAGCCAATGATTCGTCTTTTGAGCACGAGGAAGTTCAAGTTTTGTCAGGTGGTAAGATGTTTAAAATTAGAGCTTATGGTGTGGATGTAAATTTTGTATTGTTTTAAGGTTAACAGGCTTTCCAGCTTATCTAAATGATCTCTCAGCACCAGTCACTTAAAGGCTACATTTTAGTGTGGATTAGGCCTAAATCCAATGGCATCATCCTACCCAGGTGCAACCATAATTTGTGTTTGGACCTCCAGATATTCTCATAACTACAAGTGTAACCAGTCAACCGAATTATTTGTTAATATGGATTAGCATGACCTTGTGTTGGCACGTTAGTTTCTATTTACTTGTCATTACTAATGTGAAGACTGTTGTTACGTACGGTTGAATTGGAACCAACTCATAGTAAACCCTCCAGTGGGTTTTCAGAGGCAATAAATTGTGTAAAGGAGATTGCTCATTATTTGCTCCTGGAGCAACTTGTGTATTCAAACCACCCACCTTTGAATTGGCAGTGCAGATTATTAATTTATCAGAAGAGTTACCAGACACATACTTGACGGTTCTCGGGTTAGAGGTGATAAATGGTATTTGACACAAAGTTCTAGAAATAATTTTATGGCAGTACATTTATTATGTATGAAAGTACTGGTTCCCAGATAATTAATGCTTGTTTTATCTTATTTGAGATCTAAATTCTTTTAAAAAAATGACTGAAAGTTTAAAGCAAACAACATTTTTGCCTTTCAAGAGGATAAACTAGATGTGCATTGGCTGGAAATGTCACAGATTCTACCTATTTGTTTTTTTCAGGTTGTGTATTGATTTCCATTCTCATTTTAATAGCAGTTCTCACATATTGTGGCTCAGAGATAGCTTGAGTTAAGTTGTTGGTTTTTAATTCTGTTTTGTATTTAAAATTATCCCCTGATTATTCATATAATTGTATTTTAATGCAAAGGTCTTTTCAGAAACTATGTAGTCACTTTTATGCTTGTACATAGCAGTTGATTAAACCCACTTTAATCAATTGGGAGTAGATGTGCCCACTTTATAATTATATATACAGAAAGTCAACAAAGATCAATGGTGATTTATTTTGTATAACACAAGGTGAATTAAAGATGTTTGGAATACCATGTATACAAATGAAACAATAGATACAATTTTTAAAATTTTTTAATTGTGATTTTAATGGGAGTGTACAGAAAAGTTGGATTTGATTCATTCATTGTTGCACCTCTTATCTCCCTACCCCATCCCAGTTCACTTAAAAAAATTGTTGCATAATTTAATGTATGTATTAATTT